TGCAGGTGGAGCAGCTGCTCACCCGCGAGGGCGTGGGCCACGACGAGGCGGGCAAGGCCAAGCGGCTGCTGCGGCGCGTGGCCTTGGTGGAGTGCGAGGACAGCCACGGGAACACGCCGCTGTCCGAGGCGGCCGCGGGCGGGCAGCCCTTGGCCATCCAGCTGCTGGCGGAGCTCGGCGCCAGCCCCAACAGCAAGGTGGGCACCGGGGAGGGGCGGGCGGCGCGGGCCGGGCCCCGCTCACGGAGTCCCGCCTGCAGGGCGCCTTCGGCCGGTCCCCGTTGTACCGCGCGGCCTTCGGGGGCCATCTGGAAGCCGTGGAGGTGCTTCTGAAGCTGGGCGCGGACCCGCGGGTGTACGCCGAGGACGGGAGCACCCCCGCGCAGGTGCGTGAGGGGCGGGGCCTGGGGCGGGGCGGGGCCCGGGATCGGGGCGGGGCCTGGGGGCGAGGCGGGGCCTGCCTTTACCCCAGGAAGGCGGCGCCCTGTGGGGTTTGGGAACAGTGACCTTCCAGATGCTGAAACCTCTTAGCTTGTGGAGGAAGTCTCTGTCAGCCTTCAGACACCTCAAAGGAAGAGGGGAGGGAGGGAGGAGGGGGCTGTGGGTAAGCGAAGGACAAGTTTATCTTGTCCTTTGTTGTGGGACCAGGCACTGAATGTGCTAGTTAAAAAAAAAAAGCTGGGCACCCGCGGCTCAGGCCTGTCATCCCAGCTACTCAGGAGGCTGAGATCTGAGGATCGAGGTTCAAAGCCAGCTCAGGCAGGAAAGTCTGTGAGACTCTTCTCTCCAATGAACCACCAGAAAACCAGAAGTGGCGCTGTGGCTCAAGTGGTAGAGCGCTAACCTTGAACTGAAGAGCTGAGGGACAGCGCCCAGGCCCAGAGTTCAGGCCCACGACAGACAAAAAAACAAAAGCCAGGGCTGGGAATGTAGCTTACTGGTAGTGTGCTGCCTACCATGTGGGAAGCCCTGGGTTCAACTTCTCAGCACCACATACACAGAACAAGGTTGGAAGTGCTGCTGTGGCTCAAGTGGTAGAGTGCTAGCCTTGAGCAAAAGAAGCTCAGGGACAGTGCTCAGGCAGAGTTCAAGCCCTAGGACTGGCAAAAACAAAATTAACCAAGCTTATTACAGTCAGGATAAAGTCAGATGAAAGACATTCCACATAGGCTTTTAGAGGCTCAGCTTTGGTTAGTGAGGTTCCAAACAAAATGTACTTGTTCATTATAACCCTGACTTTGAGCTTTGAAAAGCTGATTGGGGTCAATCTTGTGAACCCAGTGTACAGCAAATCTCCTAGTGGTGTGTGTGTGTGTGTGTGTGTGTGTGTGTGTGTGTGTGTGTGTGTGTGTGTGTGTGTGTGTGTACATGTATGCATGTAGGCACATGCCAGTAACAGGACTTGAACTCAGGGCCTTATGCTCTACTTTAACTTTTTCACACAAAGCTGGCTCTCTACCTCTTGTGCTGCACCTCCAATTCCCACTTTTTTTTTTTATTTTGGGTGGTTAATTGGAGTTGAGGAGCTCTCAGATTTGTCTGCCTGGGCTGGCTTCCAACTGTGATCCTCCAGATCTCAGCCTCCACAGCAGCTAGGATTATAGAGCACTAGCCACTTCCACTCAGCTCATCTAGTATTTAGTAGAGAAAATCCCCTCCCATCCTTTAGCTATTGGCTAATCTCTTGTCTGGCATACTCACTGTTTGGAGAGGGAAATGTTCACACCCTTAATGAAGTGATCTCTCCTAATTGACAGCCAATAAACCAGGACATCTGGTCCCAGTGACCTGAGAACTCTGGGAAGCTGAGACGGCCTGGAGGCTGTCCGCCTTCCTGAGCAGGCAGAGCCCAGCGGCCCACAATCTTGAACTCAGAGACAATACTTCCATGGTTTGGGTGGTTGTTGTTGGTGATTGTGGGGCTTGAACTCAGGGCCTGGGCCCTGTCCCTGAGCTCTTTCACTCAGGGCTGGAGCTCCACCACTTTGAGCCACAGCGCCACTTCAGCTTTCTGGTGGTTCACTGGAGATGCGTCTCACAAACTTTCCTGCCAGGACTGGCTTTGAACCTTGATCCTCAGATCTCAGGCTCCTCAGGAGCTAGGATGACAGGCCTGAACTCCTGGTGCCTGGGACCTCTTGTTTTTCTTGTTGTTGAGCTCTATGAATGATCATGTTGGGGGGCGGGGCTGGCAGGAAGGAGAGGGTGGATGGTCCAGGCTCAGCTTCCGGGTGGGCATGGGCAAGTCAGTGCAGCTGAGGAGCGCATACATGCTCCACGTGGCATTTGCTGTAGAAGAATATCCACGGCAGCATGACTAATTGCTTTTTATTTTTTCCTTTCTTTTGGGAAGGCAAGAATGTTGTACATCAGTTGTCTGTAACCCTGGAAGACTTATATAATGGAGTGACAAAGAAATTGGCATTGCAGAAAAATGTAATCTGTGAGAAATGTGAAGGTAAAAATGGTATTTGTTTTGTGTGGGGCTTGAACTTAGAACCTAGGTGTGCTATTCCGTTAGCTTTTTTCACTCAAGGGTGTTCTGCCATTTGAGCCACAAGCTCTACTTCTAGATTTTTTGTTTTGTTTTGTTCATCCTGGGGCTTGAACTCAGGGCCTAAGCACTGTTCCTGAGCTTCTTTTGGTCAAGGCTAGCACTCTACCACTTGAGCCACAGCACCGCTTCTGGCTTTTTCTATTTATGTGGTATTGAGGAATCAAACCCGGGACTTCATGCATGCTAGGCAAGCATTCCACCACTAAGCCACATTCTCACTCTATTTCTAGTGTTTTGCAGGGCCATAACTAAAGACCAGAGTCTCGTGGATTTGTCTGCCCAGGCTATTGAACTATGATTTTTCAGCCTTCTGAATAATTTAGGATTATAGGCATGAGCCCACAAGCCCCTGGTAGAATTTGTTTGAGTGATTTTCACAGTTCTTATGTCTTGGATCTGGGGATGCATCTAGTTGTTTCCTAGTTCAGAGAAAAATATTTTTTTGCGATGGGAGGGGTCATATTTTGGTAGCCCAGGCTAGTCTTGAACTTGTGATCCTCCTGCTGCAGCCTCCCAGAGTGCTAGGATTAGAGGTGTGAACTATCTTTTCAAAGGTGGATTCAAGCAGAGTTTTTTTTTTTTTCAAACAGGTAGCTTAAATTCCAAATCTACCTGATTGATTTTTGGTGTTGGTACTGGGGTTTGAACATGGAGCCTTAGGCATTATCCCTGAGCTTTTTTCACTTAAGGTTGCTGCTTTACCATTTGAGCCACAGCTCCGCTTCTGGCCTCTTTCTTTTCCTTTTTCTTTTTTGTGAATAAATGGAGATAACATCCATGTGGACTCTCCTGCAGGAGCTGGCTTTGAACTCTGATCCTCAGATCCCAGCTTCCTGAGTAGCTAGGATGACAGGCGTGAGCTGCCGATGGCCTGGCCACATTGCTTTTCATGACTGTAAAATAGAATTGCAACGGCAGCATGCAGCCATTGTCATGCATCATACCCTCTGCCGTGGCACCCCGGAGGGGAAGGGGAAGGTCACGGCTCTGGGTCCTGTTGCCCCCACCCCCCGCAGGCATCGGCGGGAAGAAGGGGTCCGTGGAGAAATGCCCGTTGTGTAAAGGGCGAGGGATGCAGATCCACATCCAGCAGATTGGGCCGGGCATGGTCCAGCAGATCCAGACGGTGTGCATTGAGTGCAAGGGCCAGGGCGAGCGCATCAACCCCAAGGACCGCTGCGAGACCTGCAGTGGTGCCAAGGTGACCCGCGAGAAGAAGATCATCGAGGTGCATGTGGAGAAAGGTGAGTGCGTGCACCCAGCCTGAGCTTGCCACTTGTGGCTCGCAGGCGCTTGGGCGGTGCCAGTCACAGACACTTAGGGGCTGGGTTGCACCAATCACAGGGCACTTAGGGGCTGGGCTGCACCAATCACAGGGCACTTAGGGGAGGCAGCATGGGTGGGCTACCTCCCTCATGACATATATTCAAAGACAGGTGTAGACCGGGCATTGGTGGCTCATGCCTGTACTCCTAGTTACTCGGGAGGCTGAGATCTGAGGATTGCAGTTCAAAGCCAGCCCAGGCAGGAAAGTCCGTGAGACTTTCAAATTAACCACTCAGAAAACCGGAAGTGGTGCTATGGCTCAAGTGGTAGAATGCTAGCCTTGAGCTGAAGAGCTGAGGGACAGCGCCCAGGCCCAGAGTTCAAGCCCCATGACTGACAAAAATAAAATAATAATAATAAAGACAGTTGTAGCTAAGTGTTGGTGGCTCATGCCTGTAATCCTAGATACTCAGGGTTATGGTTTAAAGATAGCCTGGGCAGCAAAATCCATGAGACACTCCAGTGAACCACCAAAAACCCACAAGTGGAGCTGTGGCTCAATTGGTAGAGCACTAGCCTTCAGCAAAAAAGCCCAGACAGTGCCCAGGCCCTGAGTTCAAGCCCTAGGTTTTACTTTTTTTTTTTAGACTTTCTGCTGCTTTAAAAGTGCTTATTTCCCTTCTCAGATACTGTGTTCTCCCCAAAAGCAGACACCCCACCCCCACCCCCGCCTCCGCTTAGCATTCATTTTGCCTGCTGTCAGATTTTAAGGCCGATCCTAGCTAGTTTTCCAAATGCTTGATTGATCTGTGGCTGTCTAACTCAGCAAAGAACCCACAGCTGAGAGATGAGACCAAAAAAAGTCAAAAGAAATCAACACCGAGACCCACACAGGAGCTGGCAAAGGGGGCTGGCTTCCCCCAGGCCTGGGTCCCCAGGGCCTGCACAGTCCTGGCCCACTTGAAGGGGCCACAGCTAACTGCACCCTCTGTCAGCCACCAGAGCCAGGCACTGTGCACCTGGACACAGACGGGGGCCTCCGAGTCCCTCAGAGGGCCACAGCCGGGAGCCATAGGAGCTCCAGCCCATGGGAGCCTTCTGTGCCCACCCGGGTTGAAAAGTTGAATGATGGCAACGCCCCTCCCCCCAGGACGTTGCCTCCTTTCTTCAAAAGCTTTGAGAGAGTCTGCGTGTCACGATCGACGGCTAATTGAAAAGGAATGATGTTTCATAGGTATGAAAGATGGGCAAAAGATACTCTTTCATGGCGAAGGGGATCAGGAGCCCGAGCTGGAGCCTGGCGATGTGATAATTGTGCTTGATCAGAAGGATCATAGTGTCTTTCAGAGGCGAGGCCATGACTTGATCATGAAAATGAAAATTCAGCTTTCTGAAGCTCTTTGTGGCTTCAAGAAGACGATCAAAACACTGGATGATCGAGTCCTTATTATTACATCTAAATCAGGTAAGCTGTGTCCCGTGCCCTGCCAAGCCCGGCCCTCCCAGGCCCACTTTTGTTTGTGAATTGTGATTGGATTTCTGCTAAATAGAAAGCAACTGAAAAGTTCTAGGAATCCTGAAGCGGGTGTCTAGAAATTCTAGCTAGAATCTGCCAAGTTGAAAAGTTAGCCAGCTGCTGGTGGCTCATGAGGGTGAATTCCTAACTAATCAGGATGCTGAAATCTGAGAATCGAGGTTTGAGGCCAGCCTGGACGGGAAAGTCGGTGCAATTCTTTATCTGTGACAAACCAGCAAAAAGTGGATCTGTGGGCTGGGAAGGTGGTTTAGTGGTAGAGCACTCGCCTAGCATGCATCAAGCATGAGTTGGATTCCTCAGTACCACATACACAGAAAAAGCCAGAAGTGGTGCTGTGGCTCCAGTGGTAGAGCGTTAGTCTTGAGCCAAGAGAGGCTCAGGGACAGTGCCCAGGCCCTGAGTTCAAGCCCCAGGACTGGCGGAAGGGGGAAAAAAAAAAAAGATTCTGGGGTTTAGTCACTGTCCCAGACTTTTCCTCTTTGCTGTGTATCCCCACCCCTCTTGCTTTCTCCCCTCTTTGTCAGCCACATTCCTCTCTGATTCCCTCTGCATAACTCCCTTTTCTGGGGATCATATGAAATGAACTTAATGTCTAAGTCTTTTACATTTTATTTTGGTGGTACTAGGGTTTAACCTCAGTGTCAGTGTATTTGTTTGACAGGAGCTCTACAGCTTGAGCCATGCCTCCAATGCTTTTTGCTCTTTTTTGGGGGGGGTTTGGTCATGGGGCTTGAACTCAGGGCCTGGGTGCTGTCCCTTAACTTATTTTTACTCAAGGTTAGCGCTTTGCCACCTAAACCACACCTTCACTCCCTCGCCTTTTTTTTGGTCGATCATGGGCCTGAACTCTGGGCCTGGGCGCTATCCCTCAGCTCTTCAGCTCAAGGCTAGCACTCTACCACTTGAGCCCACAGCACTACTTCTGGCTTATTCTGTTTATGTGGTGCTAAGGAATTGAACCCAGGGCCTCACGCATGGGAGGCAAGCACTCTACCACTGAGCCACCTTCCCAGCCCTATTTTTGTTGTTGTTGTTGTTGGTTGTGAGGCTTGAACTCTGGGCCTGGGCGCTGTCCCTCAGCTCTTCAGCTCAAGGCAAGTGTTCTACCACTTGAGCCATAGCAACACTTCCGGTTTTCTGGTGGTTAATTGGAGATAGGAGTCTCTTAGCCTTTCCTGCCCAAGCTGGCTTTGAACCACCATCTTCAGAACTCAGCCTCCTGAGTAGCTAGGATTGCAGGCGTGAGCCACCGGTGCCCGGCTTGCTCTTACTTTTGAGATAGGGTCTTACCTTTTGCCTGACACATACCAGACCATGACCCTCCTACTTAACGCTTCCTGCTGTGGCTTAGATGTCAGATGTGTTACCAGGGTTAGCCTTTTCTGTTGACATGGGGTTTCATGAACTTTTTACCTGGCCCCAAAACATATCCCTTGATTTCTGGTCTCCCCAATAATAAAATTACAGGTGTGAGCCACCGGCACCCAGTTGAGGTTGTGTTGCTTTTTAAAAAATAATCTTTTTATGGGATTGGAGGCATGGCTTAGCTAGCTCATGAACAAAGCATCGTGTGCTGAGTTCAAGTGCTACTCTTGCCCAAAACTCTTATTTGAGAACAATTGTAAATTTACATCCAGTTATGGTCCTTTATGCTTATAATCCAAGCACTGTGGAGGCTGAGGCAGGAGGATTGGAAGTTCAAGGCCAGCCTCAGCTACATAGACCTTTACCTAAACTAATACCCCCCCCCAAAAAAAAAAACATATATACAACCATTTCATGCTGGGTGCTGGTGACTTACTCTTGTTGTCCTAGCTACTTAGGAGTCTGAGATCTGAGGATGGTGGTTCAAGGCCAGCCTGGGCAGGAAAGTCCATCATGATTCAGTGTCCAGACCCCTAGCATCTGGCAGATGACAAGCCAGCCTTGCTGGGAGCTGGGCTGGCTTCGTGAGGCTTTATGTTTTGTTTTTTTTTGGGTCCAGTCATGGGGCCTGAATTCTGGGCCTGGGCACTGTCCCTCAGCTCTTCAGCTCAAGGCTAGCACTCTACCACTTGAGCCACAGCACTACTTCAGCTTTTTTCTTTTTGCTTATGTGGCGCTGAGGAATAGAACCCAGGGCCTCAGGCATGCAAGGCAAGCGCTCTACCACTGAGCCACCTTCCCAGCCCCGGCTTTGTGGTTTTTGAAGCCCGTCCTTGGCCCAGGCTGGCCCCATGTGAGGTGTGGTCAGCCGGGGGGCAGTCCCGGGAGCCCGGGCTTAGCAGCCCCACCCTTACCCTGCCAGCCCAGGGAAGCTGCCCAGGAAGGCTAGGAAGGATGGTGGTGGCCAGCCTGAGGGGCAAGGCATTCCTCTGCTTCAGTAGAAAGATCTAGAAAACCTGGCCCTGGAGATTTCCTTGGAGAGTTGTTTTTCTTCTCATTTATCTTACTTTTTTTGGTATCCTTTCCCACACTCCTCTCCAGTTTTTGCTTCATTTCTGAATGTGTTCCTCCTTTGCCAGAGCCTCTTAGCCACCCTGAGCCCTGGTGAGACTCTGTAGGTTGAGAGTGGCGCTGGGCACAGGTGGCGCTCGCCTACCGTCCCAGCCGCTCGGGAGGCTGAGATCTGAGGATGGAGGCGCACAACCAGCATGGGCCCGAGAGTCTGCGAGACAAAACAACCACAAAGCCGGAAGTGGTGCGTGGCTCACGTGGTAGAGCGCTAGCCTTCAGCACAAAAGCTCAGGGACAGCACCCCGGCCCTGAGTTCAAGTCCCAGGACTGGAGAAAGAAAAAAAAGTGCCTTTGAAGCCTCTGCCAGCCTGCTGTCGTTCTGTCATTCCTCTGTGTTTGGCCCTGGGCAGGTCTGAAGCAGAGGCCTAAGGACTTGACCTGAGAGCAGTATGCACCGGCACCTGAAAGGGATGGGAGAACTTTCTAGAAATCCCATCAAGAGCCCAGTGACCTCCCCTTAGAGGTGGCCGTCATTCCCTTGTACCGTCACAGGCTCTGGGGATGACATCTGAGCCACAGCCCCACTGTGGACACCTCAGGAGAGGGGTCAACACATTGTGATGATGATGATGATTTTGGTGCCAGTGCTGGGATTTGAACTCAGGACTTTATCCTTTTGCTTGGTGGTTGTTGTTTTTTTTTTCCTCAAGGCTGATGCTCTACCACCTGAGCCACACTTCTACTTCTGGCTTTTTGCTGTTTAGAGATAAGAGTCTTATAGATTTTCCTGCCCAGGCTGGCTTTGAACATGATCCTCAGATCCCAGTCTCCTGAGTAGCTGGGATTACAGGTGTAGTCACCAGCACCCAGTTAGCACACTGTGGTTTTAAACACTTACATGACAGCTTCAAGATGTGTTCTGCAAGAGACATTCCCCGTGTGAACTCAGTGGTTCCCTTTGTGGCACACCCCATAAGCTGGGACTTCGCTTCCTCCTGCGTCTGCTCCCCGCCGGAGCACCTTCCCAGGAGTCTTTGCTCCCATGCCTGGGGTAGGAGAGCCTTAGCGCAGGATTTGAACTCGTCTCCTGGGAGGCCGCTGAGATCATACCAGTTCAGCAGCCTCACGCAGGTGCTCACAGCCCAGCTGGAGCCACTGCGGTCGTCCCCTCCCCAGGAAGCTGGCCATCCCTGGCCCAGGGCTGGAACTCCTCCTCAGTGCAGTGCTCAGCGCCAGGGCTGCCCACACCCGCGCTGGTCTCCTGACTCCTCACTGTGGCTTCTTTGTGGCAGGGGAGGTGATGAAGCACGGGGACCTGAAATGTGTCCGCAACGAAGGCATGCCCATCTACAAAGCCCCCCTGGAGCGGGGGGCCCTGATCCTACAGTTCCTCGTAAGTGCCCATGGGCGTGCTTGCGTGCATGTGTGTGTGTGTGTGTGTGTGTGTGTGTGTGTGTGTG